TCTCTGCCTGTGTAGACTTGATTCCCAAGCTCGTGATCTCTCTCTCCCCAGCAGATCTCTCTCTCTGCCTGTGTAGACTTGGCGTTTTCACCTGTGCTGAATGAGAAGCCAGATGATGGATGTGTCAGCGTCCTTATTCCCCAGCTGTGCTCATTCTAATAACTCTGATTGACCAGTCCCTTTGTAAACTCTAGGTCAGAACTTGAGTGTGTGATTTTTAACAATATTTTGTTTACATCTTATTTGAATTCTTTAAAAAATTGAGGTCTGTGGTCTTATTATTATGAAGGGGTCTCTTAAAATCTATGTTTAGCAAGTAGTTTTAGCATACTTAATAGCCTAGCATCTGTGTTTGCTAACTTGCCTTTATTGGAGAATTCTGCAATTAAAAGATTTTTTCTTTTTAGTTTTATGAAATGAATGTCAGATACAATGCTGGGCATTTAAGCAAATTAAATGTTTTTTTTTCCCTTCCTATAAGGAGTCTAATAAGATAGAGACCACATGAAAAGAATTTCAGTATTGTACTGTTAAGTACAATCACTAGTACCGAGGAAAGTGTGTGTGTGTGTTTAGTATGTAGTAGGTATAGAAACTCCCTACAGTGACTACCTCTTTAAGTTGAGCTAATTTTCTGTTTTTTTTTTTAATTGTTGGGGATTCATTGAGGTATAAGAAACCGTGTTACACCGATTGTATTTGTTAGGTAAAGTCCCTCTTACAATCGTGTCTTACCCCCAAAAGGTGGGGCATACACCAAGAAGTTCAGCTACTTTTCATAGACTGGACAGACCACGTGTACATATCAGTACAGTAGGTCTCATTCCTTATGTTGACCACCTCTATGTTGGCCTGTTTGTTACAGTCCCCTTGGTGGTCACCTACTGCATTTGGCTGAATTGGAGGCAAACACCAGAACTTTCCAGGCAACAAAACCATTGGAATGATTAAGTCCTGGCTGGTTGAGATACTTTGTGAAATTGTTTCATGTGTCAGAATCCTCTCCCGATCTTTTTTTGGAATACGTTGATTAATGACTTAATCTTTAAAATCCTGGCTGGTGCCATATTATTATGCCCTATTAAATAAATAAATCCTTGTCATTCCTTGTGTGTCATAAATGGGAGTCTGTCTTATCTTGATGGTTATTTTCACTTTCTTGGTGTCAGCTTTTCTCCAGGAGCTGTTCAAAATTTTGTATGACACTGTCTTCCCCCAAAGTTTGTTACTGAAGCAGCAACGGTTGACTAAGTTCCCCACCAACCCCCCTCGAGTGTAATTTACTGCCTGTCACAGCTGTGGTCTTCATGGATAAGGGAAGCAGAACACATGAGTGAGCGGTTTTTGATGCCTTAGTGAAATTCTCCTAAAGTCAGTTAATTGACATTTCAGATTGCTTCCAAGTATGATCATCAGGCTGAAGAAGATCTTCGCAATTGGATAGAGGAGGTGACGGGCATGAGCATCGGGACCAACTTCCAGCTGGGTCTAAAGGACGGCATCATTCTCTGCGAGTGAGTGCCAGCCCCGCGGGTCGGCCCCCAGGCTTCCGTCCTCCCCTTCCCACTCCAGGGTGTCAGACCTTGATACGCTGCAGACGTGTTTAATGCTTCCCTTTAGTTCAGGAACCAGCTTTATAGTCCAATCTTTGTTTTTGTGTGACTGACAAATAAGGCATCTCTCATGTTTTTCTGTTCAGACTTATAAACAAGCTGCAGCCAGGCTCGGTGAAGAAGGTCAACGAGTCCTCGTTAAACTGGCCTCAGGTAACAGCCAAACCAACAGCCTCCAGTTCCACTTGGTTACTTTTTTTTTTTTTTTTTTTGGAGACAGTCTCACCATGTTGCCCTCAGTAGAGTGCTGTGGTGTCACAGCTCACAGCAACCTCCAACTCTTGGGCTTAAGTGATTCTCTTGCCTTAGCCTCCCAGGTAGCTGGGACAACAGGCACCCGCCACAACGCCCGGCTCCAGCTGGTTACTTTTTATGTAGTGAAAACTTGATGTCAGGTTTGGGTTGGTGTGGGTTTTTGATTGCAGTTTTAAAGTCAACATTTTAGCAGAAAGTTGTGCACATGGCTATATTTAATTTTTTCATCATTTTTTAATGGTTCCATAATTACTTACTGAACTAGTTCTGTAATTATTAGATGTGTAGCTTAGAAGTTTTCCTGTATTTAGTCTGTCTACTTTCAGAAAGCATTTAACACAGCTTACACAGAGAAATACAACCCGGACTAGGAGGAGAAATGGGGGGGAAAGCAAAGCTGTATCAGATCTAAACTTACCCATGAATGTGTCTGATTAAGTGAGATTGGGTATTTGTTTGGTCTTCAGTATGTATTTTGAGCTATGTGAGAATAAGCAGTTAGTAGCCACACATTTATTTTAGTTTACTTTTTTTGGCCAGGGCTGGGTTTGAACCTGCCACCTCCAGCATGTGGGGCTGGCATCTACCCTTTTGAGCCTTAGGCGCCACCCTACATATTTATTTTAAAATTAAAACACATGATGAATTATCTATTCATTTTAAAGGCAAAATATAATTAATAAAACTGATGAAGTTAAACACTATATCTTTCTAACTGATCATAACTGTAAGCCAGAAGTACAGTTATACATATATATTTTTTTACTATGAATTATTTATTAATATGAGTAATTAGATACCTTTATTTATTTTATTTTATTTTATTTTGAAATTTGAAAATTCCAGACCTAGATAGAATTCTTTAAAAAAAAATTGCTTAAAAATATGAAGATCATCATGTGACCTATATTTGGAGGTCCACTCTCTTTTTACTGTTTTCCAGAGAGACCTGTGCATAAGTATCTATTTTTTTTTTTTTTCCTGAGACAGAGCCTCAAGCTATCCTCCTGGGTAGAGTGCTGTGGCATCATAGCTCATAGTAACCTCCAACTCCTGGGCTCAAGCGAGTCTCCTGCCTCTGCCTCCCAAGTAACTGGGACCACAGGCGCCTGCCACAATGCCTGGCCTTTTTTTTTTTTTTTTCAGTTGCAGCCATCATTGTTGTTTGGTGGGCCCAGGCTGGATTCGAACCCGCCAACTTAGGTGTATGTGGCTGGCGCCTTAGCCACTTGAGCCACAGGCGCCAAGCCAGTATCAATCTTGTTGAGTGTTAGCAAGGTACCTTTCCATCTGGCATCTTGTAACTAGGTAGAATTCTTAGGTGTTACCAAGGTCGATATTTAGCTGCAGAAGTTAACATGACTCTTTTCTCTTTATAGTTGGAGAACATTGGCAACTTTATTAAAGCCATTCAGGCTTACGGGATGAAGCCCCATGACATATTTGAAGCAAATGACCTTTTTGAGAATGGAAACATGACCCAGGTTCAGACCACTCTGGTGGCTCTAGCAGGGCTGGTAAGTGTGTGTCTTTAACGGCTGGTTAAAAACTCCCTACTGCATTGCTGGTGAAATTACATCATTGCCCTCCCCTGGTGGTTCAGACCAGGTGGGGAGGGGCCTGTCTTTTCTGTAATTATTAGCTTTGTGAAAGGCTGCTGACATCAGCTACCTCATCTCGATAGTTTAATTAGAACACTCACATTTCAGAGGGTGCCGTGTGTTACTGAATAGCCTCAAGTATTTTTCACCTCTCATTTGGGTCTTAACCTAAGGAACCCTTTGTCTTAAGACGTCTCTTTTCTTTGTTGTTTCTTCTGTGAAACTGTGTTAGCCAGATACCTGCTTAAATGTGCCTTTTCGTGTCCATGTTTCTGTCTAGGCTAAAACAAAAGGATTCCACACAACCATTGACATTGGGGTTAAGTATGCAGAAAAACAAACAAGGCGTTTTGATGAAGGAAAATTAAAAGCTGGCCAAAGTGTGATTGGCTTGCAGGTAAGGAATATGGTATTTCTTCTTCAATTGCTTATGTGACATTACTTTTTCCCATGCAAACTGTTAATTTTTCCCTAAGAACAAATATTAATAGAAGTATCATAATGTAGATTTTTGGGATAAACAGGTGGTTTGTACAGTTTATATCTATTTAAAGTTCATGAGATGAGGATGATGGTTTTAGAAGAAACCTCAGATGTGCCTGACTTGATAGTTGATTCTTCCAGGAAATGAAACTGTTTTCCCTAATTATACTTTTTTTTCTAAAGAAAATGAACTTTATGAATTCCTAAATGTTATTGACCCGATGAGGCAATTTTACAAAACCTCAATGCCAAAGTCATTTATTTACACCCGCCAAGAATGATCCAGCAGCCACACCCTGTTAGAATTTGCCAGTTTAATTCTTCAGAAATATTTCGGATATTTTCTTTCCTTCACATTGTGTCCCTGGAGAATGTCCCCAAAACATCCCTGCTGAATGCCTTTAATTCTGTGGGCTTTCCTCTCTCCCACCTGCATGACACAGCACCCCTCTTCCACTGAGTTTGTGGGAGGTAAATTTGTTTTCATACAGTACGAAATTGTATCAGTGGTGAGAAGTTGTAAATCAGAATATCAAAACAGTGGTCCATTGATTCAGTTATGACTCCATAAAAGGAACATGTAATGTAAAAACAATATACTCGAGTTTGAAAAGATAGGTTGAGGGGGAAAAAAATCAGGTATCAGGTCATAAAATACTGTTGTCAGTGTGTATGTGTGTTTTTTTAAATTGCATGTTTTGGTATGTACAAGTTTTATATGTGTGTGAATCCACAGATACACACAGACACATAGGTAAAAACCTTCATGGGATATTCACAAATGTTGACAGTCATGTCTGGAGGGTTGTATTGCAATGGCTTCTCCCCTTCCCCTTTTTTGCTAATACGTTTTCTAAGTCATCTTTAATACACAGGTTTTACTTTTAGTAATAAAGGTCTTTGAAGGAAAATGACCAGCAGTAGAAACACGTCCCTAACCAGTAGTACAGAGTGTACTGGTTGGTCCTGAAATCACATTGTTCTCAGCAGGGAAGAGAAGTTAATTATTGTTCCTCTGAGTGTGGCTGAGTTCAGATTCCTCATTCTGCCTTTCTCTGGCTCTGTCCAGTGATGTGAGAGTTAGGAATAAAGTGTGAGTCTGTTCCTGTGAAAATGTGGTGATTTTGAAACTTAGAAGCCCTTATTAAGCTCCCAGAAAGACACCTGGCATTTGCTTTCACATTTCATGGAGAACATACCTAGATAGAATGGCAGACTGCCTGGCATAATGTTCCTTCTGGCCCTTTGAGTGACTGAAGTGGCTACCTCTGAATTGGGTTTATCTGTGCTGTTGAGACTAAGGGAAAGAGTCGAGGAGGAAGTTATTCCTAATTCTGCCACTGTACTGACTTAATGTGTCCATCTGTGCTTGTCTGTGTATGATGTGTGGTTAACTGGGTTGTGAGGTTTTATATACAGCGAAGTTTTTTAAGTTAGCCCTTGAACTTTGTTTCTAAATGCACAGAGGACAGTTTGTCAGTAGTCGACTGGAATCTCAGCACTTAGCCCTTGTGCCTCTCTGTCTTTGTAGTAGCACAAGAAGTTTTGTTTGTGTCATGTATATTGTTGACATCGGATGATTAATGCTGATTTTATTTTTTAACTTAAAAGATGGGAACCAACAAATGTGCCAGCCAGGCAGGTATGACAGCCTATGGGACTAGGAGGCATCTTTATGATCCCAAAATGCAAACTGACAAACCCTTTGACCAGACCACAATTAGTCTGCAGATGGGCACTAACAAGGGAGCCAGCCAGGTAAGCAAGACCTTTTCATATTTGGAGTGAAGAGTACAAAAGGGCTGTTTTAAGTTAGCACCTATTAACTAAAAGTTTAGAGTAGGTATTTTTCAGTATAGTTTAGAGTAGATTCTTTCAGGCAAGTAGATTTTTCTGGAAAAGCAAAAATACCAAACGATGTTTTCTATAGCAACAGAAGCATGGTGTGCACCAGGTGCAGTGGCTCAAGGCTTGTAATCCTAGCACTCTGGGAGACAGAGGCAGAAGGATTGCTTGAGGCCAGGAGTTTGAGACCAGCCTGACCAACACTCTGTCTACAAATAATAGAAAAATTGGCTGGGCATGGTGACACAAACCGTTGTCTCAGTTACTCCAGACGCTAAGGCAGGAGAATCACTTGAGCACAGGAGTTTGAGATTCTATTACCTTCTATCCAGGGCCACAAAGCAAGACTCTCCTCCCAAACCCCCCCCCCCCCCAAAGTGTGGTCCATGGTTTTTGTTGGCAATTAGAACAGCTTTCTACTGACCTAGAAGAAAAAAGATATGTTCTTTCTCCAAAATCCAAGTAAAAGATTACTTATTTAAATACTGAGTTTTTTTAAAAGGAGCCCTTAACCAAGTAGGAAGGTAAAATTATCTAGTGTTCTACTAAGAACTGTTTAGCTTTTTTTTTGAGTTTGGGGTTGGTCTCTGTTGCCTAGGCTAGAGTGCTGTGACATCAGCCTAGCTCACAGCAACCTCAAACTCCTAGGTTCAAGTTATCATCCTTCCTCAGCCTTCCCTGAGTAGCTGAGACTACAGGTGCCTGCCACAGCACCTGGCTAATTTTTTTCCCCCTATTTTTAGTAGTGGGAGGGTCTTATTTTTATTTAGGCTGAGCTCAACCAACCCACCCACCTTGACCTCCCAAAGTGCTAGGATTACAGGTGTGAGCCACTGTTCTTAGCCTGTTTATTTTAGCATTCTTATTAAATGTGTCAATAAAAGTAGATGGAGGCCAGGCACCATGGCTCATGCCTATAATCCTAAGCACTCTGGGGGTCAAAGCAGGTGAATTCCTTGAGCTCAGCAGTTCAAAAAGAGGCTGAGCAAGAGTGAGACCTGGTCTCTAAAGATAGTCGGGGATTGTGGTGGGTGCCTGTAGTCCCAGCTGAGGAGGCTGAGGCAAGAGGATTGCTTGAGCCCAGGAGTGTGAGGTTGCTGTGATGACATCGTCATCACTCTACTGAGGTTGAAAAAGTAGAAGTCTGTCTCCAAAAGTATAAATAAATAAAAATAAAAATAAAGGCCTGGCGCAGTGACTCACACCTGTAATCCTAGCACTCTGGGAGGCTGAGGCAGGTGGATTGCCTGAGCTTACAGGTTTAAGACCAGCCTGAGCCAGAGCGAGACCTCATCTGGCTCATAGCTGGGTGTTGTGGTAGGCACCTATAGTCCCAGCTACTTGGGAGGCTGAGGCAAGAGAACCGCTTTAACCCAAGAGTTAGAGGTTGCTGTGAGCTATGACGCCACAGTACTCTTCCAAGGGCGACAAAGTGAGACTCTATCTTTAAAAAAGAAAAAAAGTAGATGGAAATGCAGCATAGTGAAATACCAGTTCTAACACTGTGTCTGAGATCGTATTTCCTAGATCACCAGCCCCTCAAAGGGAGGTTTTGATAACCATTTGAGAGCAGGTGGGTCTCAGACCAACAAAAGGGGGGATAAGGTTTAAAAACATTTTCTTACTGCCTCGAAGGTGAGATTTATTGTTTGCCTTTTGTGGTCATGTCCTGCCGGGTATGACGTGGTGTCTCTCAAAGCCACCACTTGTTTGTTTTGCCCACTGTGAATCTGCAGTGCTTGATGGTGGGGAGAAACGAAGTGTGAGTTACTCTGTAGCTGTTCTTAATGGGTCTTCAGTATCTCAGAGCCTTTTGAAAAGACTCAAATTCTTAAGTTCTGCTCAGCATAGTTTTTGTTGAATATATTCTAAGCATCAGAAGTTGGTAACCTGGCTAGTATATGTGCCCATCATGGGCATTCAAAATGTAACTTGCACGGGTGCCAGCATTGTGCTCTGTTTTTACATTATTTATGTCTACTCTCCTAAATCCAAAGGCAGTAGCGTTGTCTCCATTTTGCACATGAGAAACCCAAAACTAAAAGTGAGTTAACTTCTTTGAGGCCACATAGCAATTTTACAGCAGAACAAGGATTTGAAAAAAGGCCCGAGCATGAATGCCAATGAATATTTCTTCGAAGAAGTGATTTCATATCAGGATATTTTGCTTAAACTCTCATCCGGCACCAAATGAAAGTTATTGTATTAGTGTTCATACTCAGTGTGAGTTTTATAATGTATAAAGTATTCTCAAGAATGGATTCCAGCTGGTGGTTTTAACTTTCATGCTACGTTTTAATACCAGGCCGGGATGTTAGCACCAGGCACCAGAAGAGACATCTATGACCAGAAGCTCACATTACAACCCGTGGACAACTCAACGATTTCTCTACAGATGGGAACCAACAAAGTCGCTTCCCAGAAAGGAATGAGTGTATACGGGCTCGGGCGGCAAGTATATGACCCCAAATACTGTGCCGCTCCGACAGAACCTGTCATTCACAATGGAAGCCAAGGAACGGGAACAAATGGGTCGGAAATCAGTGATAGTGATTATCAGGCAGAATACCCAGATGAGTATCATGGCGAGTACCAAGATGACTACCCCCGAGATTACCAATATGGCGACCAAGGCATTGATTATTAGACGCACACAGAGGGGCCCAGTATTTAGTCCATTGTTTTTATTCAGTGAGAACCAAGCTAGCCTTGAGTAATTTTTATCTTGTCTTCCTAAAACACTATTATGCTTATTGTACTTAATAAAAGAAATTGCCTTACATACATTCCTTTTTCCTTTTTCTGCCTCTTCCCTAAATAGTTGCCTTCTAGTGCTGTAACAGTTAAATCCTACAGCATAACCAATAACTCGCATATGAAGTAAAAAGGAATACTGTGAAAGGGGAGTACTCTCGTACAGCCAATTCTTTTATTAAAGATCTATGCATTTTTACAATCTAAAACTGGTATTTTCAAACAATAGGAACCTTTTTTTTTTTTTTTTACAGTTTATCTGGTTTCTACATGGAAGACTAAATAAACCCATGCTTGTTGCTAAATGGGGTCTTTGCCAACTAAATAGAAGATGCAGCCTTTTTAGAAATTTACCATATGAATGTTTCTACAGTATTGTTTGCTAATTTTTAAATAAAGTCATGATCCGTGTGCATTTGTGATCATCCGCGTACTCATTCTCTCACCTAAGCCGACACGGTCGTCTCAGAGTGGAGTGCTTCCAAAGGAGCTTGTACAAAAAGGGCCTACGGACACTTAGGTCTGGGTGGCGTGTCCGCTTCTCCTGTTTGTGCCAATGTATCATGTAGAGTTCTCTGTTCTCTTCAAGTGTATTTATTGTTGCATTTCTCAGCATAAACATCCCATTGTATTTTTTATAAATAAATATTTTTTTTGAACATTCATATGAACCACAGGCTGATTATTTTCTGGCTAGCTTCTAGAGAGGGAGAGTTAGTTTTTTTTTTTATAAAGTACTTTCCTAGATAGTGGTATAAAGTACTTTAACCTCCTTTTATGTAATCCAAGCAGCACTGCGCTCTGTGCTGAAGAGCGTGAGGCCTAGAAAAATGAAGGGAATTACCTGGTGCATGTAGTACATGACACCCAGGATTTAAGTCATCATCTGTCCCTTGCTTATTTCATTGTGACTTGGCTGCCCCAAATTCATCTTAAATTCAACTTGGAATAATCTTAAAATCATCTTTAGGAATACTGGTAGGAGCATTGAATTTCGCGGTCATGTTTAAGATTAAATAAAATGGTCCTACTTCCTGATCAGAAGTAGGATGTGCTATTTGATAATAAGCTAGGTTTGTAGTAAAACATAAACCTTCAGTCAAGACAGAGAAGGTCATCAAACAGTTTAGTGTCATAATGAATAATGTTCAGTCACTTAAGGAAAATTGGTGACTCCCGCTTTGTGACATTGTCTCAGCCAAAAGCTTTCTTCTGATAGGATTGGTTCTATGAGGTTTGGGGGTGAGAATGTGCCTGTTTGTTTCTTTGCTAGGGCAGATAAGGAGGTACGCTCAGTTTGAAGAAACCCATGAAAGTTAACTTTACAAGGACTAAGTTTAATGTTTCTGTAAATCCTGCTCTATAAATCCCTTTCCTAAAGGAAACTGATGGACCTCACCTAATTCAAGCAAGAGTGCTGTTTTACGAAAAAAGTAATTTGCATTTAAAGTAGACCTGAGCTGTCAGGCTGTTTCTTGTCATCTTGGAACAGGTGTGTAGGGAAGAGAAGCCTTATGTCGTACTACCTGCCCTGCCAAAACCATCAGGTCCTCCTGGTAGGAGAGCAGTAATTCTTTTGCCTGTCTAACAGACACAAGGCTGCCAATCAGCATGTCAGTGTGCTGTTTGTTGAAAGCTTTAAAAGGAATTCTCTCTCCCCCCTCACCACCATCTAAATACATCTCTGAGGATGGGGTCCAGGTTATAAGTGTTGCAATTCAGAGTGGTGGTTGAAAACCATTTCTTCAGAATGTCTGCCAATTTAGAAAAGAGCCAAGAGCCTGGTACTTTTACCAACTAAGTCATAGCTGGTTAAACTTCTGCTGCTTTAGTGTACTTACCCAAGTTAAGGTGGTAGTTCTGGTTAAACTTTCAGTTTTTAAATTTTTTTTTTTTTTTTTTTTGAGACAGAGTGTACCATTTCACCTTGGGTAGAGGTCTGTGGCGTCACAGCTCATAGCAACCTCAAACTCCTGGGCTCAAGTGGCTAAAGCGCCAGCCACATACACCTGAGCTGGCAGGTTCAAATCCAGCCCGGGCCCACCAAACAATGATGGCTGCAATCAAAAAAATAGCTGGGCGTTGCGGCAGGTGCCTGTAATCCCAGCTACTTGGGAGGCTAAGACAGGAGAATAGCTTGAGCCCGGGAGTTGGAGGTTGCTGTGGGCAACAGCACTCTACCTAGGGTGACAGTTTGAGGCTCTGTTCTCAAAAAAGAAAAAAGAGATCCTCCTGCTTCAGCCTCCCAAGTAGCTGTGACTACAGGTGCCCAGCACAATGCTTGGCTAACTTTTCTATTTTGAGTAGAGATGGGGTCTCGCTCATGCTCAGGCTGGTCTTGAACTCATAACTCAGGCTATCCACCTGCCTTAGCCTCCCAGTATGCTAGGATTATAGGCATGAACCACTGTGCCCAAACTAAACTTTCAGTTTTTATTGTCACTAAGTCCAAGGATTGTACTTGGAAAAGTTAATATATTTAGCACATTTCCAGGATTGAATGAGTGGGGAAATGTCCTATGCTATTTAAAAGCAGCATTCCAAGCTGGGCGTAGTGGTGCACACCTGTGTTCCCAGCTACTCAGGAGTCTTAGGCGGGAGGATAAGCTTAAGCCAGCAAATTGGGAGACCAGCCTGGCAACCTGGACAAGAGAGCAAGACCTCATCTCTGCTTGGAAAAAAACATAATATTCCAGAGATTTCTGCTGAAAAATCCTTTTCTTAAAAAGGTTTATTTATTGGTAGTTTTCTTACAAACAAATCTGAGTTATTACATATTATGCTTTAATTGATGCATAAACAGGGTTTTAAAAGTCTGTCCTAAGTGGTACAAAAATAGGTTGTAAACTTTTATGGTTCCAGTATTGTAATCTGGTCAAACGTTAATGATAAAACAATGAGGAAGAATAGGGTCTATCAAGGCTTGCTTTTCCTTTCCTTTTTTTTTTTTTTTTTT